TTTTAAACTCACTGTACTGTGTTAAAGATGGGAGGGCAGATAAGACTTAGACATAATTTTTGGGAGCAATAAAATAAACAAGCTAAAGATGATAGGAGGAGTGCGGAGGAAGGATGGCGGCGTAAACAGAGGGGGTTTGGGCAGCCTGGGGCGCCTCCCTGGCTCTGCAGAACCCTGCATCCCCGGCGGAACAGCTGGTGCTGTTCAGGCAGCTGGGGGGAGGTGGTGCTCTGAGGGATTCACATCCCTTTCCATTGACGTTGCTCGCTTTCCCCTGGCCAGCGCTGATTACTCTGGGTTAACCAGACATTTAATAAGCTTGGGTGGGGGTGGGGGGCCTCTAGCCGCGACCCTGCACTTCCACACACAGCCGGGCTGCTCGCTGTGCAGCTATGGCTCCCCCCAGAATCTATAGCCAGTGGCCGTCTGACGTGGAGCTTTTAACTTTCGTTGCGGTTCTAAGGTAGAAAACATCTCTGCTAGAAACGTACCACAAACTGATCAGATATTTTTCTTTATTCTTCAGCTTTTTCCAAAGTTATGTAGCTATTTTATGTAAGCAGTCAGTGGGTGGGGCACTTTAGGTTGTAAAATGGTTTGAAATGGTCGTTTTTCTTCCTTTATAATTATTAATAATTCATCCCGTACTGACTTCAGCCCTGATCTCTGCAGCATGTCTAGGAGCATGTTGGAGGGGAGGGGGGGCATTTCTCCAATGTCTCTTCTGTGTGACACTGAGGCCTGTTCCAGGTGCTGCTCTGTTGAAGTTTGACACTGAGCCAGTCACCTGTGACACTTGGTGAACGTCAAGCCGTCCCTGACACCGGTGGCCGGCCGCACGCCTCGTCACATGCGTGCCTCGTCACATGCGTGCCTGCATGAAGCGAAGCTGACAGCCTCTTGCTCGCAGTAATCGAGCCCCATCAGGATGACCTGGATTGTATTGACTGGCTGTGAAGCGTGGGATTTCTCCACTGGTGTGTTTATCTAAATCGAGCTCTGTCTAGCTTTTAAATAGGGCATGTTCTGGCTTGTCTGTTTTATGACACTATCTGCTTTTGAGAGGGAACCTGCGTTATGTAACATGAGTGCGATTAGTCCATTTGGAAGGTGGACCGCAGTGTATGTCACAAGACATGGAGAAACAATGGAGCAGATGGAGTTTACAGAGCACATAAAAATGATCATATAACAACTGTGTCTCATGACCTTTTCCAACAGTGAGCGCCTCCTGTTGGCCTGTCTGCATAGGCATGCTTGGTGACTGTTTCAAATGAACATTTTAAAATATGCACATCTATGTGTTTCTGAATCAGCAGTGCACCAGACCTCCAGCTAATGGCTTACAGACTGTGCAAACATCTTGCAGGTCTGGCTGCAGCATGTTTCCAGTGCCTGGCGTCAGACACATGCGCCCTCAACACGCCGCCCCTCCCCGCGAGGAGTAGCATGCAGAACCCTGAGAAGTAATGAAAAGTACATGAAAGCAGCTCCTCATTTGTCCTACCGAGTCTCTCTCCCTGCCTCCAGCTGCCTCGCATTCCCAGTGTGACCTCAGCCTCTCTAGCAGCTGTGCACGCAAAGGCCCCATCCGAAGATCCCCCCCCACCAAAGCCCCCACTTCTGAATCCACCCAGGACCACTGCGCCACTGTGGTCCAGCTTAGCAGCACGAAATAATCAGAGAGATCCTATTCAATACCATCCATGACTGACTTTTGTTACTGTCTTACCAGTTCATTAACTGGGATTAAAGTTTTACTAGCATTAAGTCAGGATTACACATGATGGTGTTTATACTGGGAACTTTATTTTTCCCCAGAGCAGTATTTTGCTGTCTAATAGGAAAATAAAGTTGATGCAGACCAATCATGCAAAGGAGTGATTTCTGCCTTTAGCTGCTTGCCATGTGTCTCGCTACTGGTAGCCCAGTTCCACTGTAGATATTGTGGGGCCAAACCCAGAGCGTGCCAATGTGGTCCAGGGCTGAGTATGGCTTCTGCGTGGCCCCGCGCTTCCATCGCCATCGTCCAGAGGCTTTCAGGAAGTGCGACGTCTATGAATCGTTTATAAATTAAGCTACGCTCTGCTACAACTGCTCACAGACTGTGACATCGCCCAGGGGCAAAGGCGCCCCGTCGTGCCTGCGTTTCTGTCCCTTCTGCGTCACTGCCACCCTGTCACCTGTTCCGTCAGCTACATCATGTAGGCTGTCCATGTGTGTTTACTTAACGTCCTGCAGAAACTGAGAGTGGTCATGTGACTGATCTGCATGCAAAGATGTGGTTGAGTTGAGGCTTGCGTTCTGCTCCACTCTGCACATTAAAGGTGCTGTTGCTCCCCCCTCCATGACTTGTTTTGACCCCAGTCTTTCCTGTGGTTTGTCTACCTTGTAAACAAGGGTGGGGTCATTTGGCCCTTCATCAGGCCTTTTCATAGTATTCACGCAGGTGCCATTTTTGTATAGCTCTGCCTTCGCTGCAGCATGCCCTGCAAAACAGAAAATGTGAGCTGTTTGTGTTTGTCTGTGTAGACATGTGACAGTACATTGAGATGGTTTGTGTAACTGCAACCCTTCAGTGTGTTGTAGTTGGCATGAGTGGTTAGCATGATTGAAGGGCTGTCAGTGTAGACATGGGATTTTATTTTTTTTGGGGGGGGGGGGGGAGTGGCATGATGTACCCAGCAGGATCTGAAATGTCCTTTGTCCTAAATGGACAGGTCAGTCTGCAGTGAGCATGCTGGGTAATGTCCTCAGAGACGTGCGTCAAAGCTTGGAACTGCTGCAGAGGGGTCTCTGGGTCACACGTTTGCCGTCCTACGTCTGCTTCGCTTCGAAAAGCCCGACAGCTGGAGGTCTGGGAAGATTTACACAGGGGTAGGTTTGTGAGCAGATTCCTTCAGGGGACGCTCCTCCTGCAGGGAGCACCAGCGCGCTTCTCGGCTGCAAGAGCGGGCTGTCCCTCAGCGCGACGTTTCAAAACCACGGCTAGTGTAAACAAACAGAAACGGGCAAGCTCGTCCCCCGCAGCCCCAGGAAATGCCCGCGGCTCTGGCTGCAGTTGGCAGGTGTCTCGGGGCCGTATGTAGGGTGACCGCATGCTGCCGTCGCCGGGGGGTCGCCGTGACGGTTGCTGTGAAGCCAAGTGGTCTGATTAGCGTAGTTGTGGGTTTGGTTGGCCGCCGGTGCTGCGGTCGGCTGGCCGGTGAGGCCTGATGGGAGGGGGTTAGTGTGACGGTTATGTAATGGCGCTGTGGAGGCCGGTCTGGCTGAGAGATGATAGGAGCAGTACAGTCCTGCCAGGGGTCGCCTCTCCCTGGCCCCGCCCATATGCTATGGCCTACGGGACCTGCATCCCCGCCTCTGATTGGTAGGTAAGGGGAGGAGCTGTAGGGGCCCTGGCCCAATAGTGTCTCTTTATTAATGTCACAGTGGGCCGCATGGGGACCTGGCCGGGCCCCATCTTGAGGCCCACCTCAGATACTTTATACTGTGACAGGTTTTGTTAAGGTGTTCATTTCACAGCCCGTCAGAATGAGATGAATCAAAGTCGGAGCCTTTATTTAATCTGATCTCTGTGCATTAGCGCAGTCTGGCCCGTCTGTGTTCCTGCCTACACCGATATGCTGTGGCCTTTTGTCGTTACTGTTTCATCCTGATCCCCTCCCCCCCCCTTCTGGCACATAAAGAAGTACAGCACCCCATCACCAAGGAACTCCCTCTGTGAACCGTTTCTGTGGTTTTGTCACAGGCTGTTGGTTTGTGTTCACGTCCCCCCTCCCCCACATGTAGACTGATGTTACAGATAAGTCCCAGGGGGGGTTGGGGGTGGGGGCACTGGCACGGCGGCCCCTGAGTTCATTTCCACAACCTTGTGTGAGTCAGTGATGGGGGCAATCGCCATGGCCTTTGTTTTTTACTATTAACAGTGAAGCCCAGAGGGTCACAGAGGGAGCATCGAAAGCACGACTGCATCGGGCAACTTTTGGCCTCCCTAAGGATCATATGTGTGAAATTACACAGAAGCCTGTAAGCACGGGAGGTTTAGTTTGTGATGATGACGATGATGATGACGGTCATGGTGTATTATAAAAACCACATAATATCCCAGATGTCTCGATACACCTGTATCTCTTTTATTCTTCCTCCGATTCTTCTCTGTCCTTCTGCGGTCAAGGCGATAGACAGTGAGCTGTTCTGGCACATTCTGTCACCACTTATTAATGCTCTGGCCCCTTGTGTTCTGCCGTCAGTATGCAGGCTGCTACTTGCCCCGCCACATGCCGGGGAGGTGGCTGACGTTACAGCACGGTCCCCTTCAGTCTCACAGAATTTACACCACGGTCCCCTTCAGTCTCACAGAATTTACACCACGGTCCCCTTCAGTCTCACAGAATTTACATGGACCTTCCCAGCAGGCTTTGCAGCATAATGTTACCTTGCTACACTCCCTGATAGGGTAGATGTGATGAACAACTAATTTTGGGAAATATTTCATTAATTATGTCTGCTGGATTGCATTTGGAGATTTGGTTTGATTTCTGGGAAATTGTCTTGTAATTGTGGGAGTTTTGGAAAGTGCTTTTTGGAATTTAGAGTGAATCTTTACTTCTGGCCCACAGGACAGCACAGTTTTGTGTTTTCCGCTGTTCTGTTATCTGACAGGCTTCTCTATGCAGCAGTTTTCTTGCTTTTGTATGATTCCACCCAAATACATGCAGATTAGCTATGTAGCTGGGCAGTGGGCCATCGGCTTTGGAGAGTGCAGGCATAAGTAGTGAAAAACCAGCTAATATTGTTAACATTTGTGTGTTTTGTCTATTTTATAGACCTAAACTCAGAAACAGTCCTGATCACTTCAAACTTATTTGTACGTATGAATGTATAAAAATGTTATGGTCCTGTGCTGAGCTGGTGTGACATGAATTTTGACCTAGTGATCTAGTTGCTTTCCATTACCTCACAGTGTTATTTATGGATTTTGTTTGTTTGTTTATTAGGTGATGATGACCAAGCAGGCCCCTCCCACCAAGGCACAGATCCTGGGCTTCAGCCAATCAGGGTGCGATCTGGATTCGCCTGCAATCTGACGCGGGGCTCGTCTGCCATCCGCAACATGAGAGGCAGCTACTCCTGACTGATCGGTTAACTTGGGCTATTTCTCCACGATGACAGTAGACGATGACCTTGCCGTGTGTGTATGTGTAAGTGTGTATGTGTGTCTTATCTTCCTATGACTTTGGGCGAGAGGAACAGCCCACAGTGGCACTGAATGTTAGCGATTTCACAAACCGATGTCAAGGCCGCAGTCTCCCGGCTCAGCCTGCCTGATTTCCCCCTGCGGTTGCTCATGCGTAACTGAGCACCGTTTGTGGTCAGACGCGCCCGGCTGTCCTGCCCTCCTGTCCTGCAGCTGTGCACCCAGCACCCTTATCACACCTATTATGTACAAAACTGGGCAAGATGGTGGGACGTGAGCTCAGCAAACGGCACCCTTGGGCCGGGGTCTGCTTATCAGATACCGTCTCGGCTGCTGGGCTGCCTTTACTGCTACTGTTATCTGAGCTGTTTGCTCAGGCCCTCAGCTTCTCGAATGGTACCGCAGTACAGCTTGAGGCGAGGCGTTATCTGAGCCGTCACCGCCAGTAAACATAATGAGAAGTCCTGCTTGGCCCTCTGCCCTAACCCTTATTGGCTCTTATGCGGATGATCATTTTTATGACAGTGTTTGTGCTGTGTAGTCAGGGGCTGGCTATGAACCTATGCAGTGATGTGCTGAGATACTCTGTAGGATGGAAGCCTTGTCTTGTGCCAACACTGCATGAGGTTAAGAAATAAATACATATATAATTTCATATGTGGATTAATGGCCTAGAACTTTATTTAGGTTAAAATGTGTCTGTACTTGCACAGTATTTCCTGCCCAGACATAAACTGCAATCAGTAAAGACCCCCCCCCGTGCCACCCCCCCACAAAACGCACACTATTCTAAACAGGCCTGGGGTGTGAGCTCACAGCTCAGGTAACACCTGGCTGCACTGCGAATCCCCAGGTGATTGGCCCCTGGGGGGGGGGGGCACAGCAGGCTCGGCAGGTTTCATGCAAGGCTCAATCTTGATGGAAGATTACCTGAAGGAACCTACGGTGGCATTGTTCTGATGTGCAATCTCGGTTGGCTGTTTATTTATGGGATCCTCTCCCACAAAGGCTATTGGCTGCTCAGGCACTGAAGGCATCAATCTTGGCTCGCACTAATGGAACTTGACAGGCTGTTGCCATGGTGCTTAGGGCTGAAGGGGAAGATGAGGAAGTTTGGCTGATTATTTGAACAATGGCCTTATTTTGGGTGGTTCCTTCTTTTTAACTTGACACACACCACACACAGGCTGGCTTCACTGGCTTGTTCACATCACAGTGGTGATCCTCAGAGTGCCAGTCTTTGATAAGTTAACTGCAGATAACTGTTTTTCCAGTGCTGTTTCTGTGCGTTTAATGTATTTAGCTTCATCATCTACAGAACACATGAATAAAATCTATCTGTATTGATAGTGTTTTCATTTAACAACAGTTTTTCTATTTTTAATTTGCAGTTATTTATTTCTCAGCTTGACCTTAATTTCTCATCCACTTCCAGCCATTCGGGAGAAATGAGAGCTTCTCCTCTGTAACCATCTGTATGGGGCTGAAGGGAGACAGTCTGCTTGTTCTCTCACTATGGAGAATCGTAAAGTTTTGGAATGAGCAAAGAAATGGGACATAACCAAATCAGGTTATTGCTTAGATGTCCTTAGAAAAGAGAGAAATGGAACAAAGCGGCCGTTTTAGGCATTGTAAAAATACCAAAAATCCAGAATACTGGTACTGGTTTTTCCAAACTTTCCGGCAGAAAGCCAGCCATGCTGCTTCCACTCTGACCCAGTCTCTGCTTGCCTGAATTACTTTTCAGAAACCAATCACATGGATCCACATGTAGCCCCACTGACTAAGAAATCGATACTACTGGTGAGGCACAGTGTTGCGCTTGAGAAACTGTTTGTGAGCTTCCCAAAGCCCATTTCTATGGTGGGGGGCATTACTTATTACTTATGGCTCAAACCCTCAAGCCACTCAGCTCAGACCTCAGAACGCTGGATCTCGCTAATGGGGCCAACTGGCGTGACGTGGGATAGTGTCTCTCTCTGGGACGACTTAAGCTGTTAAACTATCGCTTATCCATTGTCTGGACATTTTGATCTTGTGAAGAGTAATGTGCCAGTTGTAGGTCATATTCAATTAATCTGTGATAAATGTACCACCACATTCCACTGAAAATGAAAAACGAAGCTCTACCCGGATCTCTCTATCTCAAACTTCACTGTACGTGTGGTATTACGGGCACTGTGACGCGTCCGAGATGCTTCCCCAATGGGACACTCATTTCTCGGGATATTGAGTAGTCAGGTATGGGGAAGAAAAAAAAAAGTGTTTACATACCCGGGAATGGACAGGTCACGGCTTTTATGAGGACTCGCTCCTTCACTGATGACAGTACAGCCAAGCCAGCAAAGATGACTGCCTCCTCATAAATAGTCAGGGCTTTTATTCTCCTTCATTTCGCAACAGGAGTGTTTGGGAAATAGCATGTTTTCACATGTTTCCTGAACAGCCCGATGGCAATCTGTCCCACCCTTGCCAAAGGACTAACTAAAGCATCTCTAAACCTTAGATCTCAATCATCTCTCTCCTCTGCACACCTGCCTTTCCCGCTGTCTCTGGCTTTTTTTTTATTTATTTTTTTAAAGTAGGTCAGGAGTTGCTGCATAATCGTAACATGATACTGTAAGGTGCAGGTTTACAGCTGTGAGACTCATAATGGCTGGAGAATGAGGAGGAAAGACGTCTGTGGCAGAATGTCTCTCCTCTGACACCCAAAGGTATGTCAAAACGAGCTAGTCGCTATACAGAGAGTAGAAAACTATTGTAGTTCAGGAAACTTCATTTGAAGCTGAAACGTGCTTGAGTTTGTTCCAGGGGACAAACCATTATGGTCTGTTCATCCCTATGCAAGTCGCTGCGTACACCTCTTTTTGTCTGTGGTTTTGTGCATCTTAAGGTGGAAACTGCTTGTGCATTAGGCCTGAAGTAAACAGAGCAAAGATGACTACACAGCACATCACAATATATGTAATGAAATACTATCCCAATAATCTTCAGTCAACAAGCTTCTGAATTTACATCAGTGCAAGTCAAGGGTATAGAAACCCATTACCTTGAAGAGCTAATGTGTGGCTTTTCCTTTGGGGTTTCCAGCTAGATTCTGGGGACTATTTTTACTTTGCCATCACCACCGTGGGCTCCGTGTTTCCAGTCCATAGCATTGTCAGCACCACTCCTTGACCCCCCACCTCCATTGCATTTTTAAACCTTTATTGACCCATATTTTTACTGTCTATCAGTTGAGACCGAGAACCAGACAGGTGGCACAACCCAGAGATACGATTCCCTCAGTTATTCTTTGTTGTGGTTAAAGAAAAAAAAAAAAAACTTAGTGTCTATGTACACAGCATGTGCTGTCGCTCACCTGACACGGAAATTGTCACTCACACAATTCACAATACACCTACAGACCTGGAATTTTTAAATAAAAATTAGCATGCCCACACACAAACTACCCGCACCCCTTCAACAAACCCGGCACCATCACAGACATAACAACCGCCAAGAACCACCATGCTGTTTTCTGTCGTGTATTAAAGGTAATTTGAAGTGCCCTTATCTTACACAGGAAGGAGAAGTTTTAATGTCTGACAAACTCCAGAACAATGGAAAGCAGGGTGCTCACTGTTGAATCGGTGTAATGAAAAATGTTAGAGGTTCAACGACCTGTTGACCATTCTGGTATCCATTAAGATTACATGATATTTGGAAATTAACTGAGGTAGTGCTTGTATCTTGAAGTAGAAGGTCAAAAGACATGAATCTATGCCTTTTTTGCAATGTTGTCATAAAAACCCTAAAGATGTACATTGCTGCCCCCCCTGCCTTCCCCACTATTCTCCCGAACACCCCCAGTGGCTTTAGGAGACAATGTCCCACAAAACAGAAGCTGAATTTGCTGCCTTTTTTGGGCCATTTAAACACCTGTCTCGGAGAGGCAGACATGTGACCCGTTTGCTTTACAGAAAGTAAAATGTAGCACAAGCAGCAGCTGTGTCAGGAGCTGTAAGCAGCCTGTGGTGTTTGCCCCCCCCTTCCTTCATAGCATGACTGGTGTAATCTGTGTGCTAACATAGGCCCTTGAACTTGGATTTTACAGACACCCCCCCACATGTGTATTTTATTTTGCCTCTCAGGCATAACTTTTCAAAGTGAAAGGGGCAGGACCTCTTCTTTTGACAGCCTCACCTAGACCAGTTCCACAGCTTGGTACTGCCATTAGCCTAGTGTCTATGCCTGCTTAGCAACCAAGTCACATGAGGCCCAACGACCAACAGGAGCACCACCCTCACAGGTCCACATGTGGCCATTAGAAATACCAGTGGCTTCATGCCCAAGGACATCCATCCAGGGCCTAAAGCCACCACAAATGGGCTGACCAAGGGCACTCCTTTCACGTCAACATACATGCAAAGGAGATTAACAGCACAGACAAATCAATAGAAGCAGTAGCTCGATGGCCACTGCGCAGAGGGAATTCAGAAGGGGAGGCCGTAAGCAGCCCCAGCAGGGTAGCAGTGATGTAGGTGTTTACTCTGTCTGCCACCCCTCTGCTGGTACTTTTCCCTTCCAGTGGCAAGACAGCCCATCACTGCCAGTGCAAACCTGACTGGAGCCCTACAGCTGGCCCTCAGTCCCTGGTGCCACATCTGACAGCTCACTGCAATGCCCACCTTCATGTTTGCGCACTTTAAGGACAAGTCAAAATGATCACAACATCTTTTCAAAAAATATGGGGTTTATTCAAACTGCAAAATCGGTCGTTACAAAAAGTTCATAAACAAATTACTGCAATGAACAGCAATAACAAAAATACATTCAACAGTTTGCTTTTTTTGTCACTCATATGAACTTTTCTAACTGAGCAGATACTCCCCTGCCCCCCCCAAAACTTCCATGTACAAAAATAGAAACCTGGAATGTATTGAAAGAGGCACTTAATATGGATGATCCAACAAGAAAAGTAAGTCAAAGTTACCTGTGTGTCATGCAGGACGCCTGTAAATGGGGTCGATTTGCTTCCATTACCCATAAGTCTTAAAACTAAAACCCACCGTAACCAGCAAACCTTCAATTTGAACATAAATGCAGTGTTAAAACTCACATTAGGAAATGTTAAAAAAAATTACAGTAACAAAATGCTTGACTACTCTCCATATGACCCCATCCTCCCATTACAAAAAAAAAATTTGTTCACTCAGGATTGCTGCTGTTTCAACTTTAAATGCTAAACCATAAGCATTTTGGTTGCCAACTGGTGTCTTTTCAGACACTTTCCTCACGTAATTCTCTTAAATTTTTAAACACATATTTACAGATGGGGTAACATATCCCCTTTCACTAACAAAATCCTTTTTGTAAGGAGCAAAAAAAAAATGGATCCCATGAACTGAGACACTGCACTCCAACCCTTCCGGTTAAGATTTTAGTTTCTGGGACATCAGGCACAAAATTTCAGTACGTCCACATGGGGAACAGCATTGACCAACAAGGACCTTAGCCGACCAGTTCTGTCAAGACGATCCACGTCACATTTAGCTAATAACAGGCAGGGACTGTTACTGTCAAGGCAAAACGTATAGGCTACACATTCTAAAGCATGGAGGGCAGCGATTAGGCCACGCCCACTAGTACAGTTTAGGAATGAAATCAAGCCACTACAGATCCTGAAATTGCAGTCCAAAATTAAAGATGGAAAAACTACAATAAATAATTAAAATGAAAACCTTTTGTTTTCCAAGATAAAATAAGTGAAGTTATAAAAAGTCACTGTAGTATAATATATTAAACTGTGGGAAAAAAAAAAGTCTTCACAATCTCTAATATGGAAGATCATAATTTAACATAAAAGAAAATATATTCTATCGTTTCATTATCCAGATAAATAAAAAATTAACAAAAAAATGCATATGATCAGCAATAAATACGGTTTGATAAATAAGCAGTGACAAGCAAAACCTTCCATTTTGAAAGTTTTTCCCCAAAATAATAATAATAATCAAAAACGAGAGAAAAAATGAAGCAGGTTATGGGTGGGATTAAAAAGTGCTCCACAGAGTGGAATCCCGAACGGGAATGGATCACTTGAGGCGGGTCACACAGAGCCACTGGCAACACGCATGACTCGCCCGCTGTCGGCAGAATACGGAGGGCGGTGGGAAGCGATCGGGGTGAGATTTCCTCTCGGCACACATGGAAAGAGAGCTACAAAACCTTTAGAGTCTTAAGGCAACAGCTTTAAGGATGTTACAGTTTTTTGGAAGAAAAGGAAACGCGCGTTGAAAAAGTTTGTTTTCCTGTCAATTTCCCAAGCCCATTTCCTCTTCACAAGCAGAATGTTCCATTTAAAACATGGGGGGAGAAAACGGGTCCTTGTTCTAGCCCCAGGCACTTTATTCCTTTAGCTGCTGTTTTTTTTCTTTTTTTAAAAAAAACTTTGCAAATGATACTGCAGTTATAAGGATTCATTGTCATTTTAAAGCATCGTTCCGCTAGCTAAGAAAAGGGCGGGGTCTCAAAGCAGTGGCAATGCAGGGGAGTGGCCACTAGAGGGCAAGAAGCCAGGGCATGGCTAAGGTGTCAGAAAGGTATATTGCATATGAAATACCTTTATCGCAACACTTCACCCATTTTTGGCACTGTCAAACACAGTAGAAGCCAAGTGTTCAGAAGCAGAGCTGAGTTCAGGAAAATGGCAGTAGATTTTGTTCTATCTGAATGGACATTTTCCTTGATTCAAAACTGATTCATTTAGAAATCACAGTTCTATGAGTGCTTCCTCATGGTCTCATGGATGCTGTTGACTTACAGTGATGAGAGGAGGGGATGGGGTTCTGCAGTCCTGACTCACTGCAGGTGAAGTGGGTGAGCCCTTAGCTTAGCTTAAAACAGTTGTACACAAATCTGTCTGTCCCTCACTTGTAAACAAAGACAGAAGTCGAGGGATAGAGGTTGGGGGACAGGAAAGTGCCCGCTGCTGGCCTCTTCTCGCTCCATCTCAGGCATCTGCCACACGAACGCAATTCAATCATCGGAGATGGACAGTCTGCTGAAGATGGGGAGCCGGCGCGAGGCATCCAGCACCGGGGACTCTGAGCCGCTGAGGCTTCCCGAGCTGCTCTGGTAGCCCTCCTGATCCGAAAGCGAGTCTGGCGGGCTAGAGGGCGACTCAAACAGCTGGGGCGACTCCGACATGGCACGGAAGTAAGGGGCCGTTGGCGAATGGGGAGCCGGGGCAGAAAGATCCCCTCCTCCAAGGGGCCCCAGGCTGGGGCCAAACAGGTTGGCCAGCTCCTGGCTGGAGTACATTAAGGAATTAGTGTGCCATGCAGTGAGGTCCTCGGCGGGAAAGATGGGAGGTGGGGTTACTGAGGTGGGGCTGTCCTGCAGGCTGCCAGCACTGGAGAAGCCAGCGAAGCTGTAGCTGTGCTGGAGGCGTGGCCTCTCTACCTTGTTGGAGGAAGAGAGGGGCGGTGGGCCCCGGCGCTCCTCCGCATTGTGGATGAAATGGCAGCGGGGGCCATAAGGGCAGAAGCCGATGGTGTGGAAGGTGCGGCACAGCTCCGTCTTGTACTTGGGGTGGCGGCTGAGGCTGCGTAGCTCGCGGATGCCATGGGCGAACTGGCACTTGTCGCCGTACTTGCAGGAGCCGTTCTCCTCGAAGGGCCGGCACAGCTCTGTCTTGTAGCGGCTGGAGTTCACCTGAGCCCCGGTGCCGCTACCCACAGTGCCCAGGGGCTTCTGCAGCAGCCGCTCGCCGGTCTCCGAGAACGAGCGGTCGCGGAAGCGGTTCTCCTTATTGCTGCCACCATTCAGGCCGGATGATGGGTCCATCTTGAGGCCGCCGATGAATTGGTTCTGGTTGAACTTGCAGCTGGGGAGCGTGACCGAGTGTCGCCGCTGATAGAGCCCCCCAGCCGTGGGGGCCCCCACAGCCTTCCTGTCCAGCAGGGTCCCGGTGGGGGAGCTGATGGGGGGATTCACACCCGTGCAGGACATCGGTATCTGATGGGAATTACTTAAGATGTTGTTGTTGTTGTAGTTCATTTTGTTGTTCTGCAGAAACAGAGACAGAAGCGTCTTAGTACAGCTTTCTTATTACAGGACCTATGAAGGGTGTAATTTAAGAACGTTCATCAGCATTCATCACAACAATCTGGGAGTAATACAGTGCTGACCAGAATCAATTACATTAAACTTTACTACAACAGGAGCTGAATGCCTAGGATGCTGGTTTGTCTAACAGCCAATAGTTACTTTCCAAGAATGTTTGTGTCCCCGTCTTATGCAGGAGAAAAGTGTAAGTACAAATTCTGGATTCCTTTGAAAAACCAATCGATGTTGCACCAATATGCCGAGTTTATGAGTGACTAGGCTGCTTATTAAAAGGGGAAGCCTTATAGAAGCTTCTCCTGGGACTTGGGGGGAAGGCTGAGGCACATACAGGAAAAAACAGTAAAAACGAAAAACCAACACGGCCTAAGTGTCCATATCAAAGAGCACCTATTTCGTATGTTTGATGAAACATTACCGTACTTCCTTCGACACAGCTCCAGTAAAACGTTAGCTGCAATGTTTGGATTGCTTGGCTTCATGAATGAAACCATATGCATTTGTATACAAACCGCTTTTACTTCATCATCCACTGGGTCCCAGGAATACCAAAGTATTAATTACACTGAATACGTAACAGTGTCTACTAAGGTAGTTTGAAGGTCCACATGTACAGTCACTATTGCACAATTTGCTCTTAATCATTACATGTGGTACAAACTGCTGAACCCGTGTACATTTCACAAATAGCTTACTTGCCCAGGAATAGCCAGATAAAGATTACTGGAGATCAAGTGACAGGGCGTGATCTTACGTGAGGCAAGAAAACATAATGTTTTAAGTCCACCACTTCAACCTAAAGACTAAAGTTAGCCCTTAAACAACTTCGTGCCATACTCAAACTCCATGGCTACGGATAGGTAACCTTGAGAGCTTATTAAGAGGGAGAACATCAAACGTCCTTGCCAAGTCAGCAGTTTGCATGGTAGCCTTTGTATGGGTACAGTCCTTCAGCTGGTCTGTGCTGACGGGAGTTGTTCAACTAAGGATTCCTGCCCCATGAGGCAGACAGTATGGGGGCATGGCTCAGACCAGGGGTGGGGGGGCGACAGGCGATTGCACGACACAAATTAAACGATGGATAAACCGGGAAGAGGGTACGCGTCGGACGATACGCTCCAGCGCACAGGAGGCCTCGCTGGCAGGAGGGTGGGGGACGGCTCCACGATGCAGGAAAGGCGCATTATGAAAAGCCTCATGCATGGCCGCTGGTCGGCCTATGCAGCCCTAATGAATGGCACTGAAGCACGCGAGGTCCGACACCGAAAACGCCCGATCGCGAAGGTCTGAGCACAATTATCGTGGCAAAACAGCGGGATAATACATAGGGCAGTTTCTAACAAGCCATTAGGCGGCAGCGCGTGTGCACGGCCACGCCGCGGAGCCCCGGGCTCGGCACGCCGCATACCTCCACACCCGCGGCCGCCGATCAAGCGGAGAGCACCGCGTACGAGGCACAGCAGGGCCGCTCAACTGCACGAGAGAACTTTCGAAAATACATTCAATTCGTATATCAATGGTTAACCCCCACGACTTAAATACAGCGTGCATACGGGTAGACAAAAAGTTACTCGGATTCTCATTCCAGCACGTAAACGGGCTCTGCAAAACAGCTCTCCTTTAAACGCAAATAATTCTACACTGATAATCCGTATCAGACTCACAAACCTGAAAACTTTTTTACCAGCATTTAACGCGCCACAAACAATGAATACGGACAACGCTGCCCGATTCAGTCAAAATTTAACTTAAAAAAATTCAGGACATCGTTACCACCCCCCCTACGTCTCGCTCGGGTTCACGCCGCCGGAATGACGCACTGGTTTAAAAACTAAAACAAAAGTCCGGTAAGTTAAAGTTTTATACGGGCATACTTAACTTGTAAAGATACTAAAACGTTTTGCAAGAAAAACAGCCATCCACAAATTAACTGTTTGGCAAAGTAGTTCATCTCGACTCCCCCCCCCAACCAACCTAAGATTGAATCACACGGCCGTTTAAGCAACTAACTTAGGAGCCGCAAACGAAACAGCGCAAACGCCGTCGCCACGAGAACCATGTAAAACCGCGTTACGGATCACAAACAATAACCCTTTACGTCTGATTTCGATATAAACGTGCCGCCGCCGGTTCACGTTGCGGAGGAAAGACCCATAAAACGAAAAAGTTGGAAATTAAGGTAGGTGGGGAGCGCGTACCTTGTTGATCACTTCGCTGAAGTTAACGAAGGGCGACACCACGGCCGTGGTCATCTCCGCTGCGAGGAAACGTGTTCGGCGAACGGAGACCTATATGTCTGCGGTGGTATAAAGCTGCGTGCTGCGCGGCCGGCGGGCTCCGATCCTTTGCCGCACAGGCGACGTTCAACGTTTATAATCTCCGTGGCGGCTTTCATCGCGGGAGGGGCCACCCCCTCATGATTGGCGTTTTCATGTCAGTCCGCCGCTCTTTCCTCTTCCTTAAGCTGTGGAAATAGAAAAAGGAGGAAGGGCTTCAGCCGACTGCCATCTAAACTAAACTAATACTAAACTTCAAAGTTCAGTGATGGGGATATTTTTTGTTCCAAAACAGCCCTTTATGTCTATCTTGAAATGACTGTTTCGATCTGGTCAAAATATAGTTTTTACCACTTCATTGTTTCTGGGGGAAGCATGTTCGCCATGTTTTGTTTATACAGTTCCTCTCGTGTTTTTTCATTTGCCCTCATATGCCTTGATAGACTTTATATAAACTGTTTTTGGAATTTAATCACCATTGTGTAATAAATTTCGATGCGCTGGGAAGGAGATTCGACCCGAATCACATGGCGAGGCGACGGTATTTCCAGGTTTTGGGTTTCTGATTAATTCTTCTGCTTGCTTTACTGTAACTTAGTGATCCAAACATAGTGGCCACCACACACATTTCTTGCGTAAATCCCAAACCGTTCTAAACTATAATTTGCTGCTCATTTTTAGAGGGTGGTTGTTTTACTCAGAAATTAGACGATTTTAGTTATTTTACCCGGAGCCAAATTTTCTTTTGGCCAGCTTTGTATTCGAGAAGTTTTTTTGCGGGGTGGTTCGCTCAGTTTAACGTGACTAGTTACGGCGACTGGACGCGCGGCGCGGTTCCGCTGAGGTCACGTGACGAGCGGCGCGAGTCACCCGACACGCTGCGCCATGCCGCTGATAGTGCGAGGGGGTGTGAAGTGATACGTGATTTTGTTCAGGGTAAAACATTTGTCCGGAAGGAAACGCCTTGACTCGAGGAGTGTGTAACCGCTTGGATGTCAGATCCGCCATTATGATTAAACACGGTGCATGTGCCGGTGTGAATATTACAAGAATGCTATAAAAAGTTGGTGTACATACGTAATTGCATTTCATTAAATTACTTTAAGGAGCGATTGTGTCGTCCGCATATCGTCGTGGTATTTTATGGTATAATCTTACCAAAAACAAAAGGGAAGAACGGAAATTCCACTGGTGCCCTGCTTTCCAGATGCATGCAATGCAACGAAGTTCCAACTGAACAGTGTTTTCAGTTGTTATATATTAGTATGTTCACGGAACTATCGTACCTAAAACGTTAGCGGAGGGCGAGCGTCGAATGTGGGCGATTTTTTAAATTCTATTTATATGATTTTTGTGTTTTAAGTCATTTTTCTGTTATAAATTTAGCTTTATTCACTCCTATTAATGACAAAACATTACTGGGGCATAATCAGCGTTGAATTTACTTTTAAAGCATCAAAACATGACAACTGCTTTTTTTAAAAAGACGTCTATAACCGCAATTGATATGGAAGCTTAGGTTTTTACACTCAAGACGACAGAAAAAGGGTGTTAGTGTGTGTTACTTTGGAAAAACTGCCTGAGATGAATTATCAATCTGAAATATCTCTGGGACTGAGATTAATTTTCAATTTCATGGAAAAAAGAGGGATATGTTGATTGCATAAGCATATACACTTCTGAACTCAGTACTTTTCTAGAAGCGTTTTAAGAAGGATTGCCCCTTCTGGTCAGATTTTCTCAAGTTGCTTATTTATTGATTTATGGTTTTTGAAGCTGTAGCACAGACATTCGGTGGGATTTAGGCCCAGGCTTTTGCTAAGGTATTCACTTTCCTTTGGTGTGGTATTTGTTTGTGCTAAGAGTCATTTTGTTTGTTCAGTGTATTTTACTGGCTCATTTTACCTTCCAGACACAGTTTAAATTAAAGCTTATCTAAAACTAGGCAGCCATGCAAGGAGGGAAGTTATAGGGGTGTCACAGAGAGGCCAGTAGTTCTGGGGAAAGCTACAGACTGCCGGTCGTTTGGATAAAAGGGGACCGCATTCAATATCCATCAGTTAACAATGTTCAGAATACTTCACAATTGTAGCTTCTCCTGAAACAAGTAAGTATTTACACCATATTTTGATGGTCTCAAGTCAGATTTGGGCAATAGCTCAGTCCTGCCACTACATGAAGATTATCTAGAGACCTTCAGAAGCACCTCATTCAAATTTGTATACAGCAGTGAAATGAGACTAAATGTGCAAGAAGTAGCATATGACAGTAATAAATTCCTAATGGCTACAGCCGTAAACCTGCTATGGTTAACAAATTTTAAATGTACTGCAAGACAGGAGTGCAGAGAGTAAACAGCTTTTCCTGACTTTTTTTTAGACTTTTGTCTAAGTTGCTAATAATACTAATTACCCTGACTATGCTATTGCAGATATGAAAGTTTAGAGGTGCAGGCTACTGGAAGTTAGTCTTTCACCTTCTGCTTTTCCTTTAGTTGCATTTGTTTTGTTTGGGGTTTTCAAAAGGAAGGGGTTGGGGGTAGTGTGTGGCCCAATGGGTTCGGCCTCTGGGTTTGTGGCCTCAGCAGAATAGTCCAATCACCAGTAGGCCCTTGAGCAAGGTCTTTAACCCCTCCAAATATGCTCTAGGGGTGCTGGATGGAGGACCGATCATGTACTCCAACCCCAAGCTTTGCTTTCACCTCCATATATTTATGTAAATACTTCAAAAAAAAGAACAATGTGGGGGGAAAAAACACATTCCAGTGTACTTTTACAAATGGCAAATAAAGTTTCATTTAGAAAAAAAGTGTGATTTATCTGCTGGAAAAACAGGAGGCAATCATATGTCATCTGACTAGCTGGGATTTTTATTGTTCACTGATGGGTTTTGTGGATTTTAGCCCAGTCATGTGCTGTGTTTGGATTCCCATTGTGTGGAATTTAAAGATGTAAACCACTCGCCTCTGTCAGTTTTCTTAGTCACAAAGCTGAGTGGAACACTGTTATTGGCTTTTGGATTGTGGTTAGAAATGTGTGTGCCAATCAGAGGTGGCCTCACATGCTGAAGGGTACTGGGGGATGTGTCAGCATCCTGTGTACCTGGCCAAAACCAAAGCAGACAGACGGGGGGAAAACACATCAGTACCTGAGATGGTAATCAGACCCACCAAGTTTGCCCGGCTTATGAGGAACAGCTGCTGCTTAACACCTTTTCTTTCTTTTGTTAATGCATCATGAATTTTTATTTTGTGATACAAGTCATCTCAAGTCTTTGTTGGAGCTCAGATTCTACATTTAAGGTGCCTTAAAGTAATCTGTTTATGACTTCGGTGTCACCGGCCTTGCAGATGCAACAGAAAAGTAACTTTTGCTGCAAGTGATGTTGAGGAATAAATGGAACGTACATTTTGATTTGTCGTCCTTGCAGGGCCATTTTCCACAAAGACCTCCCCGTCGCTTTTTCTCACAAGAGAGAACTGAACATCCCACAGGGAATGGTGTCACGCATGAAGTTTTATGAAGAATCTGTTGAAGGAGTCTTTGTGAGCTTAATGTCAGGCACAAGGGGCGATGTCCCTCTGCATCTGACCATTTTTATGTGCTGACGAGAACATTGGGCCTAAGAGACCCAGGAAGGGTGTCTGTCAGGGAAAAAGAATGCGGTGATATCAAAGCATCTCAGATGTTGAAATCAGAGTGATCAGGGGGAGTGGGACTGAAACAGGAAGTGGAAACCCTGTCCAACTCGTGCTGTGCTGGTCAACGAAACATGCTTCTTATATCTGCCTTTTAAAAATGAAATCAAGATTTAGTATTTCTGACGACATTTGTTGGAGCAGATTTAAAGCTTCCATATTGCACATTTTTAGTGAGAACTGTATTTTAGATGTAGCACTGAAATCAACATGTTTTGATCATGTTAAAATCTCTGTGATTTTAAAGTTCATACATGACAGTATGGAACAAATGAAAGGGTTTAATAATTTAATATGTGATGCTGCTTGAGCTGGTGGTTGTTTAGACTGGACGCACAGACCCCATAAGCCTTAGAGGATTGATAAGACTGTCCTCTTTTGTAACACCGTCCTTCTCTTATCTAGGCTTACCTGAAGAGGGTGAATAGGGCCAGATGTTGCATAACTGGAAATGACTCCCACTGTCCTGAACACTGGCAGTGAGATCTTCTCACTCATCACAGATTGAGATCCTTTTCTATCCCAGAATGATCTGTTTCTCAGATTTAACAGAGACATGTATGCATTACTAATAGGCACCTTAAATGAGGAGTCATAAAGCTTCTGATAATGACTGATGTGGATCAGAGCGACGGTTTCTGCTAGCCTCCGGTATGACTTGCTAGGCCTCGTGTTTCTGTAGTGTTTTGAGTTGGTCACTGTGCGTAAGAAAGCTCCTTCATATCGGAACCTTCTCAGCAGAGCTATGCTTCTGAAGAGGTTCTGTGGATCTTTTGCTAAACCATCTGTGCTTGTTTTCATCATCCCTCCTTTATTATGTCTTCTGATCCTGCTCTTTTCTGCCACACATTATCGTCAGAATCAATGTGCTTCTGTGCCAGATAATATCTTGCAGCGAAGTTCCGGTCCAGAAGGTACAAATCCAGACCAAGATTTTGTTTCAATCAACCAGCTGACTACTCTGTGAATGTGACTATTTATCGTCAACCATATACATGTTGTGCTTGTATAACCATGTATGTGACAAATAAAGTGTATGTACATGTCTGTGATGAATCTGGTATCTTGAAACTGTTTGGTTGAAACAAAATCTTGGTCTGGATTTGTACCTTCTGGACCGGAACTTCCCACCTTTACTATCTTGGACCTTCAGCTCCTTTTTGTCTTTCAACATATGCTCATAAGAAGAAGAGTGTGATGCAGGGC